ACCTCCAGACAACAGAAAGTCCCCAGTTCAGGTTGTGTCCCTCCTTGCTGTTTCCCTTCCTAGTAATAGGCCACCAGAGCAGTTGTCCCTGCAGCCCTTGGTGACTGGGACTGATCTTTAGGTCAATTCTCAGGTCCCAACGCCACTTGGAAATATTCCGGTTGTTGGTCTCGTCAGAGTAGCTGACTGTCCGCACCTCTGACCATCTCTGTACTCATTATTTTCATTAGGTTGGTGCCTAATCCACTTCTGTTTAGTTCCTTTCAAAGCTCAGGGTTCCAGGATTATCTTCTGTATCTCTGTCAATTAGTTTTTCTTTTCTTTGTTGAAGAGGGTCTGTGTCGCTTGTTTGCCTATTCCTCCATCTTACCGCAAGTCCAAGAAGGTAGTTCTGAGTATCAGCTATGACCACGTAACCAGGTGCAGAAACGAGGACTGTGATTGTTATATTTCTTCATTGTATATGTGCATCAAATATTTTTGTTTCCTTTTGTTATGAACTGTGAAATGTAGATAAAGTTAATGCATTTCAGTTGTACGTGTGTTAGCATATCATGTCAGATACAAATATGACTTTATGATTGTCCTTATTTAGAGATTATATATAGTTAAGATTTGTACAACTGCCAAGTTAACAAGGGGTGGACTCTGATAGTTGGAGCGGTGTGTCAACTTGGCTGGAACACAATTCTGTGTGGTTTACGCAATTGTGATGTGGGTTGTTCCCATGATGGGATCAGATGTATATGTTTTGAGCAGCCAATCCATTGAAAGGGAGTTTCCCTAGGGGTGTGGCCTGCTTTCAGTATATTTATGGACATCCTGGGAAAAGAGACACTCTTCCGTGGATTGGGATTCTATTGTGCTGCCTACAACAGTCTGTGAACAAACAATTCACCATTCAAACTGGAGATCTTGGATTCATCATTCGTTGGAGTCAACAGCCAGTATACTGCCTGCCTACCTTGAACTTGTCTGCCCCTGCAGATGTGTGAGTCAGGAAAAGCCTCCAGCTTGACATTTGATCCAGGTACTTGGGACTTGCCAGCTTCTATAAGTGTGTGAGCCATGTTCCTAAGATAAATTTCTTTTACCAGAAGGCTGGTGGTTCAAACCCACCAGCCACTCCTCGGAAGGAAGATGGGACAATCTACTTCCGTAGTGATACTGCCTTGGAAACCCAAGGAGGGGTTGCTATGAGTCGGGTCCAACTTGACAGCACATAACAACCACCACCACAATATAAGCTTTACTGGTTTTGCTTCTCTATAGTACCTAGACTAACACAGGTGTCTAAGAGCCATTAAGTTGTCTTACTAATTGAAAACAAAGACTTTGAAGCCACAAAGTACGATTCAAACTTTATTTTCACCTACCTCCCACCAGATGAATGAACCTGGGTACATTCTTGTCATGGATTGAACTGCATCCCCCCAAAATATCAGCTTGGCTGGGCCACAATTAGGCCATGATTTTGAGTAGTTTGGCAATTATATAATGATGTAATCACCCACATTATGTGAACTGAGTAATCAGCAGTCTATCTATTTAAGAGGATTAGAGTGGGATGCAACACCCTTAAACGCAGGTCACAGCCCTGTTCTGGGGGTGAAGGGAGTTTCTCTAGGGTGTGGCCTATTATCTTTTATCTTATAGGAGAGTAGAAGAGGGACCTGGCTATTACCAAGATCTGGGAGCAAGAGCGTGTCCTTTGGACATGGGGTCCCTGTGCTGAGAACCTCCTAGACCCAGGGTAAGTCAGATGCCAAGATACATGGAGATGTCCAAGAATGCCAGGCTTAAAGATGATGAAAAGAGACAAGGACCTTCCCCCAGAGCTAGCGCCATGAATTTGGACATCTAGCCTCCTAAACTGACAAATCTGTTAAAGCCATACACTTGGGGTATTTGTTATAACAGTACTAGACAAAGGTAGTTACTAAATTATTTCCTGTCCCGTGAGATAGAGGTAACAAGTTACCTATTTTGTTGTGGGAATTAAATAATGTCCTTTGATATTTTTACTAAAAAGGTAAACTTATTAGTGTGCAAAACTCAAGGTTTTGTGGATAGTCTGCTGCAGACATGGTCAAAAAAATCACTTCCCTCAAGCTTTGAAATTGCCTACCGGTGCTTCATTTCATAGTATAAACAGCTCTCATCACCCTCCACTTACTCCTAAATCAGCCCACCTAGCTATGGTATTTTCAGTCACCTCATGTGCATGTGAGAGGCAGACAATGAATAAGGAAGACGGAAGAATTGATGCTTTTGAACTGTGGTGTTGGTGAAGAATGCTCAAAATACCATGGACTGCTAAAAGAACTAAGAAATGTATCCTGGAAGAAGTGCAACTGGCATGCTCCTTGGATTTGAGAATGGCCAGACTTTCTCTCACCTACTTTGGTGTTCAAAAGGGACCATTCCCAGAGAAGGATATCATGCTTGGTAAAGTGGAGGGTCAGCAAGGAAGGGGAAGGTCTTCAAACGAGATGGATTGACACAGTGGCTGCACGATGGACTCAAGATATCGCAAGGATTGTGAGGCTGGCACAGGACCAGACTGTTTCGTTGTATTGTACATAAGGTCACTGAGTTGGAGACAATCCAACGCACATAACAAGCAGCACTTATTACTTTGATTTTGTGGTCCATCATGTCTTTCCAGTTATAATACTGCTGTGTGCCTCTTCTTTCCACAGGGCTCCAAGCTCTAGATCTGATATAAATTCCTTCATTTTGGTAATGTTGCCAACTTGAACAGCTCCCAATTTCTATTAGCTTAGTATTTCTTGCAAAAACACCATGCTTCTTCAGACTTCAAGATAGGTCATGGCCTATCTACAAAAATGGAAATTACAATCCTACCCCATCACATTTAACCAAACCAACCTGATTGATGGAGTTTGACTTCTCAGATTTTAATTCTTTGCCCTCAGGACATAGTCAAAATGGCAGGGCTATAGCTCACTTTATACTTACTTAGCCTAGTTCAAAGTCCAATGCAGAGCTGTCACTGTGAGGTCATGGTTAATTTCTCTTTCTACATCCAGGGCAGAGGCCCAAAACAAACTTCTATCTAAAGCATCCAACTGTCTAACATGTTAAATTAGCTACCACTTAGTGCCAGACTAAAAACTTCCAAGTCAATCATTTCTAACCAACTTAGTATAGGACAAAAAAGGTGCAATGCATCAAAATCTAGTTTTGCAATGGATACTAAACACAAGATTAGTGCACTAGTCAAAAGTTTCTTTTTCTAGGGGGCACCAGGTTTGCAGGTCCGACAGAGCCTGGTGGAACCACTGAGACTATGGCCCCTAGCTGCCCTTCAGGTCTGGAATCGAAACCACACCTGTGGCTTCCAGCCAACAAGACAGGTATGAGTTGAACATTTCCGAGGTAGATACACTCCTTGGAGAGAATGTGAGAAAGAAGGGCTGCTTATGCACAGGGAGACAGCTCAGGGGGCAAGAGTGCATAGAGGGATGGACATAGGGAAGAGGTAACTATAGGGAGGAAGTGGGAGGGGAGCTTTTGCATTGTGGTAAATTGTAGTAACGTCATAAGACTAAGTGCATGTGAACTGCTGAATGGAAAGTGAATTTGCTCTGTAAATTTTCACCCAAATCACAGAAAAGTTTCCTTTAAGTTTCTGGTGCTTATTTCTTAGAACCTCTTCGCAGTTCCTCCACACTTTTTATCCTCTGATACTAATTTCTAGGGTGCCACTGGATTGCCCTTCCCAAACCTACAGGATTAATTCCTACTCTTGACTCAAAACTCCCACCTCCAAAAATTAAGTATCAGGATTTTTTCAATCTCTACAAGATTTATTATTGAGTAAATTTATCTTTATATATACAGAACAATTAAAGCTAACCAAGTGCAACAAATAAGCCTGCCAATTATACACATAGCTTTATACCAACTATATAGTTCAGCCAGTTACGTCAAAATTCTGAAACAAAGCATTCAAATAATTTCCAATGTACTAGAGTGTGATCACTTAAGACCACCAAATAAATTTGAAGCAGACCATCATTCCCAAATTGCAATACTATTTAATGATTTTGTTGAAAAGTGTTAAGAAAATGGACAAGGGCAGATAGTACTTGTCCCACCAGCACTGATACCAGGGTTAAGACGTGATCTTAAAAAAAAAAAAAAAGGATCCATTTTGCACCAAGGCTAGAGAATACCTGGTAAAAGCTTGACCAGAAAAACTTTCATCAATTGTTACTACCATACTAGTAAGATTTTTTTTTAGGTCTGAAGAAAGAACCTACTGGCTGTAACATTCTAAGGTCTAACAGATGCTATCAAAAAACAGCTACATGAGGTGCTGCTAAATATAGGTGAGATTTACAAAACTGCTTTAGTCTCACAGCAACATTTGTGATTGACATCTTTAATCATTTTGCACCAGCCTGGCAAAATAAGAGAAATTATGTTGGTTGGTGGGAACTAAAAAACTTGGAAATTAACAGATCTCTATACTCAGAATCAGGCCATTCTTTTGAAGGAACAGGACTATCTGGGCTGGAAAATTTTGCAAAGCTGGTTTACATTAAGACGTTTTGACCCAAATTCAGACAATTAACATGCATGGGGGAATGGGGTATAAAACTGGTCAAATAATGTTGAAAGCCAAGAAACAAAAGTACATCAAGTAGAGCTCCCCAACAGGGGGTGTTCCAGTTTGCCTTCGAAGTCAGATTTAGTTTTACCAGCATCAAGCCCAACTACTTGGATTTATTTCAATCAGCTCTTTGCTCAGTTCCTATCACTCGTTTATGGGGTATCAGTGATCCCTTTAGCTTGAGAAATTTTAGATTAGAGTGATATTTAATATCACCAAATTCAAATAGGTTAGTTCTTAATTTAGGGGCTTGTCCTAATGCACTTATGCTACTATGGGAAACTCTAGATCTTACTCAAAGCTTTAAGGGTAAAATATGGTATCTTCAAAATCCCTTAAGAACCTAGCCACTAAATGTATGTATAGAACAGAATCAATCATGTTCAAGACTTAACAACACCATTATATATAATTATAGTTACTAATAATCGAGGTTTGACTCAAGTTTACCAAATTGAAAAGTTATTGAACACAAATCAAAATTCTAGTTAGAAACATTTTATTTAAATGTGCCAAATAAAAACCCACAATTTCAGATCATAGGATGTTAATACATTCAACAAAAATGTGTATTATCTTACTGCTGTGAATTTACAGAGTAATAATCCAGATCCATTTTGATTAGATGGTTGAAATACACCATTCCTAGGTTACACTTTACAGACATCACAAATCCCTTATAATAATGTAAACAAAATAACTTTTCCCTAAAAGGTGAACTTGAGAACTTCAGTCCATTCTTTCAGGACTTGCACTTCTGCGCGGACTTCCTGATGGGGAACGACTGAAAAGAAAAACATTAGGTTTGGAACCAGTTAGTGTCCAATGAAACTTACTTTTCTATGTACATGTCACAGCAATACTGTTTCAATTTAAAGGTAGCCAAAGTTACATAGTTCCCACAGCAGAGATCTGAATTATATGAAAGATTTATATTAAGCATTTTCTCCCTGCTTAAGGTTAAACTCAGTAATAGCATCTTTGATAAAATTGCAAAGTTTAATAGATCAGCTATTTGAATTCTTCATTATGTAGTAAAACTAGAAGGTAAAAGTTTAGCTGCGAGCTTGCAACCCAAGATTTATCCTCCTTATAGGGACATTTTCATTGTGCAGGAAAAGCATGTTTCTCATCATGACATTCTACAATGTAAATTTAACAGACTAAATATACCTTAATAACCATTATAATGTTTTAAAATTAAATATGTCCAACCAAACTGTAAGCTATTATTTAAGTAGGAAAAGCAGCCATTTCAGAAACTAATTCTGTGGTATATCTATCTATATAGCACCAATTCTCCAAAGAGTTCAAAGACTGCAAAGCAAGCAGTAATAAGCAAAGACACTCTGCAGAGGCCACATTTGACAACAAAATTTGGCAACATTTAACTTACCTTCTTTTTGGAGATGGGGATCTGGACTTTGATCGGCTGTCAAAACATGAGAAATTCTATTAAGCCAAGGTACTAGCCAATCTCTTTCTTATAGTCAGAATACCATGAAATGAACACCTAATTTAGTCCTAAACTTAATTTGGAGGGAAAGAAAAAGCCTAGACAGTCCTTGCTAACAAAAAGTAATCTTCCAACAAACTACTTTTCATAAATTGCCATATTTTATCAGGATTAACTTTTACTCTCTGCTTTAGCACATTCATCTCAGGAAGTTTCTCCATGCAAATACAGGTATAGTCCCCGATTTACGACATATTCGAGTTAACTACAAACCGCATTTACGACCGTTTTTTTTGGTAAGTCTTACCATTAGTAGTATGTACTACAATGTTGCAGCGTGTAATCTGCTGATACTATCATTCTCTGATGTTCACTCACAGATGTTCAAGATTGGATTTATAAACATACTGATCAAAAAAGACAGTAATAATGAAAACTTAAAAAAAAAAAAAAAAAAAAAAAGCGTCCTACTTACATAAGAACCAACTTACGACACAGTTGTCAAAATGGCCCAGTTGTAAGTCGGGGACTACCTGAAGTCAGTTCTAACAAGGGCTTCTTAATATAATCCAACTTAAGTAACAAATTTCTTTTTCATTATAGCTTCATATTCCTTTATGCAAGAAATCTGCCAGCAGGCTATGAAATTCTAAAGTTTGGTTCATTAATAAAGTTATTCTGAATTCCCACTTAACATTCTAGGCTTAAAGTTAATACTTCAAATGCCAACAATTCAAAACACTTTGAACTCTTTGGATATTGGTGCCATATAACTCTAAGAACATTAATCAGTTTTTTTTGCCCTACCTGCTTCTTGGTCGTGAAAGAGACCTGGATCTTGATCTTGACCTTGACCGAGATCTTAATGGGGGGGGAAGGGGGGGGAGAAAAGTAAAAAATAATTAAACCATTGACTAATGGTTTAGGAGTTATTCCCTTAAACCACTTACTTACACAGTTTGGACATTAACGTATCTATCCAAAGGGGACACAGGACATATCAAGAGAGACCAGTCCATAGAGGACATTAGGCTTGATAAAGCAGAGGATGGGTGAAAAAGAGGAAGACCCTCAACAAGATGGACACAGTGGCTGCAACAATGCGCTCAAACCTAACAATTGTGAGGATGGCACAGGATTTAGGTCAGAACCAATTCAGGATCACCTACTAACAAATAATAAACTCACTCCCTGCCACTGAGATGATTCCAATTCAATGACCCCCACTGGGTTTCCAAGGCTGAAAATCTTTATATAAGCAGAATGCCTCATCTTCTGAGGAACAGCTGGTAGGTTCAAACCAGATACTTTGGTTAGCAGTCAAATGCCTTAACTACTATACAACCAACCAAACCAAACTCACTGCTGTCAAATCAATTTCAACTCATAGTGACCACTCCCCCTTTGGGTTTCGGAGGCACTATCACTACGGAAGTAGATTGCCCCACCTTCCTTCTGAGTGGCTGGTGGGTTTGAACCATCAGCTTCCTGGTTAGCAGTCAAACGCCTTAGGCACTATGCCACCAGAGCTCCTTATTAACAACTAATAAAGGTTTCCCATCAACCTCGTAGGCTAATTAAGATATCCCTGGATAGAGAATTCTTTAGGTATATAAAGCCCTGTGGAAAAAATTACTACTGGATAAAGCATGTAAGGTTGCAATGAGTCGGAGACGACTGGATGGCACTTAACTGGATAAAGCTTTATTCTTGGATTTAGCAAATCTGCGTTCCTGGGAAGTATGAACAGGTTAACAATGTCCCTTGCCAACTGCAAATTCTAGTGCACCTACAGAAGGCTTGGAAGTAGGCCCGGCAATCTCTTCTGAAAAAACAGCCACTGAAAATCCTATGGAGCACTTGAGATGAAATCAACTGAACAGCAACTGAAGGAGCTCTGGTGGTATAGTGGTTAAGGGATCTGGCTGCTAAACAAAAAGGTCAGTGGTTTGAACCTACCAGCTGCTCCATGAAAGATAGTGTTGTCCGCTTCTATAATGACTTACAGCCCTGGACTGGGGTCTCTATTAGTCAAAACCGACTCAATGGCAGTGAATTTGATTTGTGCTTTTGGTACAGCAATTGGGTTTAGTTTTTTCTTAGGTCAGCAAATTAACATGGTCCAGGGCCATTAATTTGTCAAAACCAAATAGGCCCTAACATACTTCTCTCTTTCCAACCAAACACCTGAGTTAAAAGCATTTCTCTATAAAGACAGTCCACAGCTTTTTCATATGGGTTCAAAATCCCCGCATGTAAACGCTTTGTGCTACTAATGAATAGTAGTATCCTCCCCACCATGAAACCATCATCTCCACTGCTAATGCCTTGTTTTCTAAACTTTCATGTATTTGTCACTGTCCTTTAGGGTCCTCTTTAAAAGGGGAGTTAACGAAGCTGGGATTCTTTTATTTTTGATTTCTTAAAATCTGAGTCTCTAAGTTACCATCTGGTATTAAAAAGAAAAAAAGTCCACAACATTCATTCACATGTACGATACCACAAGGGTCTCATATTCACTGCACCATGCCAAAAAATGAGACATCATTTCAATTTGCTTCTAAAAAATCCTTTCCTGATTCTAATGGGCCTTATCAGAGTTCAAGGCAATTAATCATTCAGAGCTTGTATTTATCTGATACCAGAAAAATTTACAGCAACATGTCTACCTAAATGTTCACTGAAATGTTGTACACTGGTCCCTTCTCTATCACCATGACCCCTCCAACAAATCTTTAAAATCTTTACTTGTGCTTTTTGTTACCTGCATAACTACAATATACTCATTACGGATCATTTATAAATTCAACTTTCGTATTTCAAGTATTTAAATATTTCCTGGACCACTCATTTGAATTATGTCCTTAAGACATCATTCTCACTTCTGTTAAGAAGTGATAATCCAAACAAATGAGGAAAAAACGTGTTACATACTGGAAATACCTCGATCCTTTTATAGAACCAGACCTAGATCTTCTGAGTGAAGCGGATCTTGATCTACGAAGAGATACAGATCTCGATCGCCGAGGAGATGCTGATCTTGACCTAAAAATTAAATCAAAGCTTTTAAGTCCATCTCCCAATAAAGTTTTTTTAAAAAAGTCATTTTTAAAGACTTGTAGCAAACGAACTCTCACCTGTGTCCTCTACTCCTGCTGCGTGAGCGAGAGTATCGCCTTCCCCTGGATCTCGAATGTGATCTAGACCTTGACCTATTTTTCAAGTTAGAAAAATACATGATGTCAGAAGACAACATTTATAGAGTCTGTATGCCTTTGCTGAAATCAAATCTCAAAACTATTTAAATTTAGTGTCTCATTTTGAAAAAAAAAAAAAAAAAATTCTGGGCCTATTAGTTTTTTTTTTTTTTTTAAACTACCTAAAAAAAGATTTGTTAAAAGCTGAATTACATTTTAGAATTACATAATACAAATCACTGTAATGTGTATTTAAAATAAACCTTGCAAGTTTGCAGGTCGACCCTCTTTGGCCCATGGTCTAGTAGATCTAGACGATCTAGAAGTATCTATAGCCGATCGCTGCATCTAGATGTTTTCTTCAATCTAACGACGATCAAACTGACAGCCAAATGAGCCAGGTGAGGCTTGATTGACGCAAGAAGATTTTTCTAGTTGGGAATGTGGTCAATCTGGTGTTCCTCTTTCTAAACCGGAGGGGGCCCCAATTGTAAGCCAAATTTACTGTTACGGCGATCACCGTCTCAAATTTTCTGCCCTTTAAAGAATAAGGTGAAGCTAGGTGTAGATGACTCGAGGGGATCTGGCCTCTTATGCTGATCACCTCAAGGTCTAGGAGAATCTTAATTGTCGGATTTGCAAGGCGCCTCAGCATATCATAAGGCTCGTGACATTCTGAATCAAGGCGACTGACTCAAACGAAGAAACCTGAAAGGTTTTGACCAGGTTGATTATTAATATATTAACATTTGTTTAATTAAACAAAAATTGTAAAATACACCTGTACAATTAACATTCAAGTTTATAAAAAAATAATAGTTTCTCCCTTGCTAATAAAAAAATTACTTGATTAACTCATGTACCAACCAATCCTTTATCTAAATAAATACCTGCTTCTTCTTCGTCGGCTATAGCGATGACAATCATAAGCATAATGTCCCTTTTCTCCACACTCGTAACATCTATCATTGGGATCAAAGGGACGTCGGGCAGGTGGTCTATCAAAACGAGATCGTCGAGGCATGCCTGTTGATAATTCAACTCTCACTCGGGAACCACAGATCACTCTATGAAAGTAACAGAATTCTAATGTTAGAAAATATGCATGTGAATGTAGACTTAGAAGCAAAACCCTCTCCAACCACTCTACCCTCTTAAACTTCAGGCTATCTTTAGTAAGCCCTTCCAACTCCATTATGTTCTGCCTCAAGGTCCTGAATCATAAAATTATAATTAGCTATTTACTGTATCCTCCAGACTACAGAATCCAACTTTAGCATCTAATTCATTTCCTACCACACAGGAGTATTTAAATGAACATTTCGTAACTGACATCTTACTTACTTCCCATCGAGTCCTCGCACTGCATCTTCTGCATCTCTGGGATCTTCAAATTCCACAAAGGCAAATCCTGGAGGATTTCTTGCAATCCACACAGTTCTTAACGGACCATAATAACTGAAAGCCCTTTCTAACTCTCCTTTGCCAGCACCAGTTCCCAGGTTACCAACATATACCTTGGTCTCTGTTTAAAAACGCAAAAGGAATGCATGTTATGCAAAATCCTACCTAAATTTCAATCAAGTCTTTATCTTAAAAAAGGCCATCCTTAAGCCTGGGCAAAGTACATTTTTAACACTCTTTGAAAGACTGAATTTAGTCTTACACCAGCAAAGTCCGTAAATTCCTAAAAAGCTGGGCTTACTACAAAGTTCTCAAGACTGTTATTTGCTGTCGAGTGAATTTAGACTCACAGCAAGCATGTGACGATAAGAACTGCCCCACTGGGTTTTCTAGGCTATCTTTTTACAAGTCTTTCTCCCACGGAGCCGCTGGGGGTGGTTTTCGAACCGCCATCTTTCGATTACCAGCCGAGCGCTTAAACGTTGCGCCGGCATGGCTCCTTCATAAGGCTTTAATGGGGGGAAAAAAACCTCCAAATCACAAGCAAAGATGCGTGGTAGGATATTCCGAGGCGTGGGGCGGCCCGGCCCTGGGACCCGCCCCGGCCCCGCCCCCGGCAGCGCGCGGGCCCGCGGCGGCAGCAGCAGGCAGGCCTCGGGCAGGAGCCGGGCCGGGAGAGCTGGGCTGCGCGGGCTCTGGTCCTCCGTGGCAACCGCCCAGGCGCAGGCTCGCCCAAGACTCCAGCTCCCCTCCCCAGAGCCATAAACTGCGCTCGAAAGAACTAAAAGAGAAAAGAAACCAGGCACCAGACGTAATGATTATTTCTCTACTCCTACTCCGCAACTTGGACCGTGATTTGACAAGAATGCGCAGCTCGCGGCTTCCACAATTTTGTTCAGCCTCAAATTCAACCTTGCTTCCGAACAGATGTGTCCGCTAAAGTGGCGGGAAAGCGTTAAGGAAATGCGCCACCATGGTCGTCAATGTGTGCAAAATGGCAGCCATCGCTGAGGGCGGGGAGAGGGAGCAGGCGGCCCCAAGAAGGGCAATGGGAAAACCGTGATCTAAGACCCGGCCTTGGGCTGCACCGGGCGACGAAATCTTCAGGAATTAATAAGGATCCAGGGACACACATACACCTATCACCCTCCGTCTTCCTTCAATACCCCGCCCCCGCTGCCTCCAGCTTCCTTTGGCGTGCGCCGAAGCCGCCATTACGCACGCGGAATAACCGTCTCCCAACTGCCGCGCTAACCCTACGGCCTCGCAATACTCACTATCCCCACAGCACAGTCCCCTGCTGGGCCCTAGTATCTTACCTCCTCCGTACCGCCCGTAACGCGACATGACGACTGGCCCGCGTGCTCGGCTCTTAGCGCGCAGTGCCTAGGTTGCAACAGACCCGAAAACTGCCACACACCCTTCTCCGCCAACGGTCCTAGCGGCGCTATGAGGAAGAGCCCAGCTTCGGACTTATATATGCAGCGGGTGGATTTTGCGCATGCGTCATCTCGACGTTCTGCGCGGCACAAAGGAACTGAACGGAAACAGCGGAGAAGCGGCGCGGAGGGAACTGAAGTGGCTAAAATGCTAATCACGGCGGAGGGATACGTTTCCATGGGAACGCAACCATCACGAGAGTAAAGCCTAGACCTTCCCCGCCGTGTCCCTCCTTTTCCCCTCCCTCTTTTCTAGTACCCAGTCTAGTTCCCTTCCTTTTTTTTCCCCAATCCCTTCCTTTCTCCCCAATCTAGGGACCCTGAGCATTAGTAATCTTTCCACAGATGCATTAGGCTGGCCTAATGAAAGTCTGTAAACTTAATCGCCAATGTTGCAGCCGTCGCCGCTATTCTGCTAGGGGACCTGGCCTAGTCTGCTACTCAATGAGCTCTTCTGAGGTAATCGGAAGTTTGGCCGGGGAGAGAACTCCACCAACCTTGTCATCCTTCGTAGTGGTCTCGGTACTGTAGACCTCAAGAGGGATTATACCTCTAGGGTCTCATGATTATACTGCTTGCCTCACACTGACCCTCCAGCCCCTTCGGAATCAGTCACCAATTTGTCAACAACAGAATCCGAGTTTTTGGAATCTGAGGGACAAAGGAATAGAGTTTTTTCTGATTATGTTGAAATTGTGACAAACCCCGAAATCGTTAATGCATTTTGGGCAGTGGTAAATTTGAAATTATCTGCATCTTAAATACTCAGTAATCAATTTGTGCTTCCCTTCTAATGCTTTCTGCTTTTTATTATAATCTATCTCATCCATTAGTATAAGGGTCATGTGAGATCCTTGAGAACTGGGACTTTTCTTAGTCACCTTTGAGTCCACGTAGTGGAGATAGTAGCCTGTTTGCTCAGCCACAATATAGATATCGAGGAAACGAAAACCTTTTTTTTCACATTGTTGTTGTTATGTGCCATCGAGTTGGCCCCGACTCACAGCGACCCCTCCCTCCTTGGGTTTCCGAGGCAGTATCACTACGTAAGTAGATTTTTTTCACATTAGCATTACTTAAAATCCAGTATTAATTTTATGCAACTTATTTGCTGAACACCAACTCTACAAATACAGATTCAAATTCTTTACCAGCCACAGAGCACAGTTGGATGTTACACAATAAATACTTGAAATACTCAAAAGTTAGAAATGTTCCACATAAAAGAGGAAATCTTTAGGTATTTGGGTTTTATCTTTTTCATCTCCTATAACTTCATTTGGTGTAGGTATAGATGTGGGCCGCAGAATACAGCAGAAAGGAGGCATACTTTCCAGGTAATGTTAAAAGGTTGTTGTTGTTGTTGTTTTGTTGTTGTTGTTGTTATGTGCCCTCGAGTCAAACCCGACTCATAGCGACCCCTCCTTGGGTTTCCGAGGCAGTATCACTACGGAAGTAGGATTGCCCAACCTACCTTCCGAGGAGTGGCTGGTGGGTTTGAACCGCCAGCCTTCTGGTTAGCAGTTAAGTGCCTTAGGCACTTCGCTACCAGAGCTCCTAGATTAAGCATAAGATAATTTATTGGAAGAATGGTAGTTATACTGCAAAGCTCCTAATAGACCACAAGAAATATTTTTTTGGCTCTGAGTACAAGTCTATTATTGTACTAAAGAGATTTCTAACTAATAGAGTAAACAATATGAAAAGAAGCATTGCTCCAACTTAAACTGTTTTCACACACATTAAAGAAAAAGGGGTGATCCTGACAGGCATGTATGTTTCTCTTGGAGGCAGAAGCTTTGATACCTGTTATTTGTTTTAGGCCAGACTTTGTTAACTCAGTTACCATAAACAGAAAATATTTCTGTGTAGTAGTTTTGTATACTGTTATATGGTGGTATAGCGCCTAAGGCATTTGACTGCTAACCAGAAGGCTGGCGATTCAAACCTACCACCCACTCCTCGGAAAAAAGGTTGGGCAATCTACTTCTGTAGTGATACCGCCTCAGGAACCCAAGGAGGGGTAGCTATGAGTTCTATGCGACTCCACAGCAGTGAGTAGAACGCACAACCCAGACTTTTCACTAAATGTCTAAAATCAGGGAGATTTTATTGTATGGAGTACTTTTATTCCTGCTGATTCTCTTTAAAATCAATTTTACTCAAATTTCTGCCTCTAAGATTCTATATTAAATTAAGATCACATTTCAAGATTCAGTCTGAATGTAAAAAGTATTTAATGCAATTCAACAAATATTCTCAGATTTTCTTTATGACATATTAAGTAATGATTAAAATGTTACTGTTGTTAAATATTGATGATATTATTAGTTTAAGAAAGGGAGTAATTCTTAATTATTTTACAGCAGTTTTCAAAATGTATCTGCGTTGCCTATCTCTATATTACCAGGAAAGCATTTAAAGAAAAAGTTCACTTTTAAATCTTATTCCCTGTGCATTTTAGTTTCACTTTTAAGTCACTGTTACCATTCTAGCTTGGATGTGAAAACTTTAAAACAAGAAAAGCAAAGCAAATATAGGGTTTTACACTTGTATTTGTCTCTAATATAAAGAAGTATTCTGTTAACAAAATACTTATTTTTTATTATGTTTATGTATGTACTGTGTATGTATGTTGTGTAGGTCAAGCCAAACAGCTATGTTCAACTGTAGCTTTCTTTTTCAACACTTTCTGATCTATTCACTCTAGAATGCTGTTAGAAAATTCTGGCAAGGAGAAGTTCTTAGAAATATATTTACAATTAGTTCATATCATATAAAGAATTTAACTTGTCATTAGTCAAGTATTGAACTACAGTCTGCTGAAGCAGCAAAGATAGAGAGAGGAATGGTTCAAAATAAAACAAAAACAATGTTTTAACCAACTCCAAAGAGTGAAACTAGGAACAGGAAAAATATGATGCAGGAAATAATTATTATTATTGTCTTACTGTTGTAAATATCTAAATGGGTGGTTTGGGAGTATAAAACAGTCTAGGAAGAGTAAGATTTTATGAAGAATGACTGATTATATTAAAAAATGTGAAATTGTTGACACCAGGAAGTTCTAAGCTAATCAATTGTATTGTTCCCTTCCTAAAGAAAGAATGTTGATGAAAGGGACTTGATGAGCTCGCTGTCAAAATGAGAGAGCTAGACTAGCTTAGAAGCAGAGAATCTTGTAGCTAGGAATATTCTAATCACTAAAGACATGTACCTTGGGAGCTCTGGTAGCATAGTGCCTAAGGCACTTGACTGCTAACCAGAAGGCTGGCGGTTCAAACCCATCAGCCACTCCTTGAAGATGGGGCAATCTACTTCCATAGTGATACTGCCTCGGAAACCCAAGGAGGGGTCGCTATGAGTTGGGTCCGACTCGACGGCACATAACAACAACAACAACAACAACAAAGACATGTACCTTAGTAAAACAGATAATTGTTTGGGCTTTTCCAAGTGATAAGTGAAATTTCTCTCAAGATCAATATGCGTAAGGATTGCTTGAGGTACTATTGACAATGCAGATTTCAAAGCCCTAACTCTGAAAAGATGCTGGTTTGTTAGACCTGGCATTGACCTAAAGGACCTGCGTTATTAACCAACATTGTGCTATGCTTTAAGAAACGCTGCTCAAGACCATTGACTTTTCCTTGTTTGATGTTTTGATTCTGATCTTCCAGGCCCTGGAAATGAGTATCTTCTACTTTAAAGTAATAAAATACTTTTAGTTCATAAATCCTTTTCTTAGGAGAAGTGATAAAGTATAATGATTAAGAGCATAAGCTTGTGGAGTGTGACAGTTGAGTTTGAATCTTGTTGGCTTCATGACTTAAAAGCTGCCTACCTTGGTCCAAGAAGGAACCCTGGTAGCTCCATGGTTAAAAGGCGAGTTGGTAACCAAAATGCCAACAATTCTAACTCACCAGCCCCCTCCAGAGGAGAAGGGATCTAGTGATCTGCTCCCTGTGAAGTATTCTCAGTGATCAGTTCCCATAAAGATTACCAACTAGGAAACCTTATGGGGCACTTCTACTCTGTCATATAGGGTCACTATGAGGTTCGAATCAATGACATATAACAACAACAACCCTTTACCAAGGGAGCCCATTGGTGCAAAAGTTAAGCACCTGGCTGCTAACTGAAAGGCTGGCAGTTCAGTCCCACCCAGCAGCTTCCTGGGAGGAAGACCTGTCTGCTCTTATAAAGATCACAGCCCAGAAACCCTATGGTTTTCTTGGCAGGCTAGAAGACCAATTTGAAGCTACCTGTTCTAGTTATCCAGTCCTGCTATATCAAAAATACTGCAAGTAGATGGCTTTAATAACAAGAAATTTATTGTTTCTCAGGAGGCTAGAAGTCCAGATTCAGAGTGGCAGCTGTACGGAAAGGCTTTCACTTTCTGTTGGCTCTAGGGGAAGGTCCTTGTCTCCTTTTAACATCTGTGAGGTCAGAGTACCTTGGAAATCCCCATGTGTCTTGGCATTATATGTCCTTAAGTCTAGGATGTTCTCCACCACTCATCTGTCAGTTTGTGATACTGTGGGGCTTGTGTATTGCTGTGAGGGTGGAAGCTATGCCACCAGTATTACAAACACCAGCAGGGTCATCCATGGTAGACAGGTATCAGTGGAGCTTCCAGAGTAAGACTAGAAAGAAGGATGGGTCCATCTACTTATGAAAAAATTGGCCAGTGAAAATCTTATGAATAGCAGTGAAACACTGTCTGAAATATTACTGGAAAACTTTATGAATAGCCTTGTTGTCTGATACAGTGTCGAAAGATGAGCCCCTCAAGGTGTTCAAAATATGCACCAACCACTAAAGCCAAAGATGAAGAAATTGAAGGTTTTTACCAACTTCTTCAGTCTAAAATTGACCACACAGGCAATCAAGATGTACTGGTAATTATTTGTGATTGGATTGTGAAAGATTGTCAGTAGTTGGAAAATGAGGCCTTGGCGACAGAAATGAAACTAGAGATCGCATAATAGAATTTTGCAAAATCAACCACTATTGTGTTTAAACGTTAGAATAAAAATATCATATATAT